AATACAGACATCAAAAAATTGTTTAGCATTGAAAATAGATGCCACATCAATCACAAGGGAAAATCTATTATAACCCAGATTGTGCGACTTGACGGCTTGAACACCTGCCTTTAGGTCACTTGTCAGTCCCAACTGGGGTGAATTTGTTTATGATAAGGATGAGAGATTGGAGGCTGGAAGCGGCTACACTGCGGAGTCATCGTTTGTATGACTAGGCTAGCTGAGGATATATCAAAAAATATCTCCAAATTTTCGCACAAGGTATGAAAATCTAATGGTCGTAATTCTACCCCAAGGGGAAGAGCTAATGTTTATTTTAGGTCAATGACTCATTTTTTCCTTTCACTATTCTTTCATTGTCAGGCTATGGAAAAAATCTTAATTTTCAACTTCCTAGTCACTTTACTCCACGATCCGGCACTGAAATACAAGCCGGCTATTTTCTTACTCAATCAATTGAGTTTTAAATGACTATGCCCCAGGGTAACATTGGAAGAATAGGCTTCTTGTAAATACAGTAAGGTAAATAATTAGAAGTAGTAAATGCATAACATTTCATGTCCACATGCAAGCGCCCCAATATAGCTTTCATTTTAATACTTGAATATCTAGCTCAAAGTACTAGGGATGCTCGAATATAAATATGAACTTCGAATGAAACGCTATGGTTTTCAGTGTTATCGGCATAAATAAAATTAATTTAAAAATAAGTCACGTGACTTTGAAAATTAACTATCGATCAGTGACTGCATGACTCATCTTTTTTATTGCGCTTGATATTTTGGAGGCTTTATTCCCCTCTAAACTTATCTTCCAATAAATTTAATGCTAGTTTTGGAGTACAACGTAAATTATATTTGGACATATTGAATTCCATTTTTACCCAAATTTATCATTTTCTACTTTGCGGAACATCATATGAATATACTATTTTTCATTTGTTTGAGTAACACAACAACTGCTGCTATATTCTATGAAAATGTTGCATTAATTTCATTATTTCATGCAATATTTTCCGACAATATTGGAATTACAAAAATTCGCTAACACGTCTGTCGGTTGAATTTCATTTCAAGGTTGCAAAATAGCACGATTATTTTAATATATTAAAATGGATTTCAATTAGAATATACATGTTCTTGCCCGAAAGCCTATTTAATTTTCTGAAGTAGAAGCATTGCTTTTCATTGACTTTATTTTAAAAGAATCTGATTGGTATATGAGTTTGCTTAAGCTGTATTGCAGCTACTGTAAATTCTTTTGCGTAATTAACTGTAAATTTCATCCAAATGTTAAAGGAAAATACCATTTGTATAATACCAATACAGGATTATTTAATCGGGAAATATATCGACAACTTAAATTGAAAATTCCGACTAGAAAGTTCCTTGATTGTTTTTATTACTTACAGCTAAAAAAAATTTGAAAATTTTTAAATAATAGAAGTTACTGATATTAGATAACAAAAATATGGACAAAGGGTAAGAAGGAGGAGACCAATATAATATGGAGATCGAAGTCAGAGTATCTAGGTGACTTGCTTTTATTGATTTTTTGATTAACCTTGTGCAGTACCGACCAAATTTCCAAAAAATTCCACTTCCGTGTAATTTAGATAAAGAGGAAGGCGGACCTGATTCCACATTTTATGGCTCCTTCAAATAGTTCTAAAGACAAAATATGTCAACTTAAATTTTCTCAGCCTGTGCTTGATTCTCCTTATCGCGTAATGAACAATTGTAATAAATGATATTGGCCTTTATATTGGTTATGAGAATGCGATCACCCCTCCCTTCAACTGTGCTTTAAAATACCAATCTCTTGATTGTCACGAATTATGGCCCTCATGTCTCTTCACACAAACTGGTCACCAATGCTTAAATAGACAACTTAGCTGTGTTCTGGAGAACGTCAGAAAATGTCGCCAAATAAGGGCATACACGCATACATACATCTCAATAAAGACACTATACTAGTCAGACAAGTGAATTAAACGCTACCACAGGGGTGAAAATTTATCTAAAAGGGAAGGAAGTTGGAAGAATATTTGTTGATGCTTTTTGAAATATCCCCTTAAAGAAACTCCCACTGACTCCGCAGTCGATATCTTTGATGAAATTCTACTGAATGGCATTAAAAGTTTCTTGGTGAAACCTTAGGTGTAGTAGATAACCCGAATGAAAATCTGTGACACACGAAGTTAAAAACGTCTTCCCTTGGAAGTGTTGGCAAAAGTGACATTTGCAAAGAGAAATCTACAAAAGTGATCAATTTAATCGTCAGGTACACACCAATGCTTTCTGCTTAAGACAGAAATATCCCTTTTAAAATATATTAAAAAATTTTTATTCAGTTCCATCAATACTAAAGACTTTCCCAATTTCTCCGTATGGGTTTGACCACATATAACGGACATCAAAATACGAGCCACCAGCAATATTGTAATCTCAAGAGTTAAGGAGATCAGTTCCCTATCTCAGATTTTAATTCATTTATCTAAATACCACTTGAGCCAATTAGGATTTAATCACATGACATATCCCCTCATAAACCTTTGGATCTGAGTCTGTGTCCTGGCGCTAAGCTTACCTCGTTCATTTTGACGCGTCAGTTGTGCTATAGAATCTTAAGTTGATTCATAAATGGGACGATTCACCCAAAACTATTGCACCTTCACATGCTTTGAAATTTTTTGCCGAAGCAACCCAAATCCGGTGGACTCTCCGTCTGATGCGTTTCCACTCTGTTCAGAAAGCCAAATCAATTTCCCAATAGCCCATCTACCTAAGAGTTCTTCTTAAGGTCATTGCATATCAGTACAATGTAAATAGTGTCTAAATAGTTATTCTGCGAAATCTATTTGACATTAAAAGGTTCCATAATTTTTTATATAAAAAATTTTAAAGTTGGTTAGCCAACTCCTGTAAGAAGCGTTTTCTTTGATAAAATTAATACTTCGTGAAGATATCAATTTTCCTGCATACTTTGACGCTTAATAAGTGCGTAAATTAGATCACGATATTAGAATCTCACTTCAAACTATTTGAAAAATCTCATTTCACTATCATAACTCCTTAGAATTTTTGAAAAATAAGGGTTTTCCCAAAATTATTTCCATATAACCTTGTGGAAAAATTAAATTTTCCAATTTTTGACGCCGTCCCAAAACTAGTAAATATAATAAAATTGTTTTTCTCTCAAGTCAAAATTGCCCTGGGGTAAGCAAAGTGAATAAGTTTTGCGCATCTAGGAGGAAATATTAACATTTTTAAATTTCTATATTTATTTTAAACATTTACACATTTTATTACATTGATTCTGAAAGTAGGGGCCAATTCTAAACAAACACTTGGCAAAAATGCTCAACTTATTATCAAATATTCAAACGAAGTTGGCAGATTTAATTCAACCGTTTCTGAAATTTCACTTTGAAAGGAAAAAACTGAACTTAAACTTTACAGTCATCTTTCAGAAATCAATATTAATCACGCCATTGCAAAACACGTATTAGGCTCTTCTGTGTTGACAAAATTCAGTTAGTTATCTTGATTAAACGGCAAATGCAAGTATTTGCCCAGTTATGTTTATAATTGACACAAATCTCCAAAAAAACATAAAACATGATTCCGATGAATTGAACAAGATGATAGAGCTATTAGGGTTATAGAATTGTACATCGCACAGAATTGATTTTTTTGTTTGAACGTAACACGGGTGCAAAGTAAGACACTGATTAATTTATGACCTTCACTCATCAAGATAATGGCATGGAGGAATGATGCATAGACAGAGTTGCACGAGAGAGAAGAATAAATCTTGAGTCAGCACATGTCCTTGACATGAGTACAGCAGATGAGAGTGGTGGGAATACAAGTCAAATAAAATGTGCGTGTGTGTGTGTATGCGCATGCGTATTTGCACCTATTCTTAATGCTTACAATCGAATACAGCATATTCACCACGGTAACTGCCAATTTTAAGTTTAAACTTTTAATGTACTATTAGTGTGTAATTCTTAAAGACTCTTATATAAGCAGAAAAGGAGAATCGTCATACTTTGAATAAATTTCTAGAATAATTAGGTCTCTCGATTATTTTCAAGATCAAATGATGCATACCATAAGGAGCAATAAAACGATTTTAATATGATAACTTGTAATTCAATTCAAACCTTTCATTAAAAAAGTCAATGTTGATTAATACCAAATGGAGATATAACAATTACGATTGCATAATTGGCTGCTAAATGAAGGAAGAAGGCAATCTCAGAATCATGATCATTATTTGGCCACGTAGTCGACAATTTTTCGTAATTAAATCACCAGATCCATCTTTATAAAAACATCAACACCGTCAATTTAACTATTTTATCGTCACATTGTAAGGATGGCGTGAAATGCGCACAAATAACTTTGTGTATTACGTAAAAATCGATATGTGGGCCATAGAATGTGGCGAATTAAGCTTTTTTAATGATTTAACATGGAAAGTTGTCAAAAAACCAGCTTCATTTCAACAAGGAATGAGTAAGTGATAAGTGAATCTAGAAGTAGAGAGGTCTCATACTACAATTTAACTCCATCACTTCCATTATATGTGTCTGTGTGGACCAGAGTTAAGGAATGACTTTAATTTTCTCAATAACAGATGAGTGTCGACGTGAACTCACAACTGAGCACGCTAGCATGTACCATCGGGGGGGGGGGCGAGAATAATAGGCATTGTTTAAAAGCTACTTGAAGAATATGATGATAATCATTTGACCAAATTTCCAACTTCAATGAGTTCTTCTCGTGAATCTTTGACTCACAACCCTAATTCCGCACTCCCATTTAATGCGTTAACTTTGTGGTGCAAATAGATAAAGCATTTCCTCCACAAGCGAAAACTCAACGTCTATAAGAAGGGGATTCATTTCTTTGAGCCACCTAGGTTTCTGGTGTTCGGATTTCATCTTTTCTAAATTTATTGACTTGAGGAACAGAGGAAATGGGACTTACTGAATTCTCACAAGACATGATCGCTTCGGAACGAGTGGCAGTATTTCGCGACACAAAGAATTGGTTCTGAAGGCCGGAGAGGAGTCGAGCCTTTGTAGCCTCAAAGTCATCACGAAGTCGCTGGGCTTCAGTGATTTGCTCCATCAGTTGTTGTCGTCGGCTTTCCAGAGGAAACTGGAAGGAAATCAAAGTTTTGAAATTTAATGAATTCAGTAAAAATTTATGGCAAGAAAACCTCAATGGATTAAAAATTTCAGAAAAACTCCACTTGGCAATGTATGCAAGCAATTCATCGTCGCCAGTAAAAGAAACTGTTTGACATTCTATTCTAGGAACACAATATTTCCTGGAAACTCCAATGATGTTTAACATTCATTTGAATATGAAATTAACAGAAAATTCAAATTTCCAATCAATTTAAATTTAATGAAAAAATTAATTTCAATGGAAGCAAAATGGAGATTAACATATCGAATAGTTCAAGTTAAGATGTACTTATCTCTTTGAAGTGGAACACTGTTTTTAAATTGAATATTTATAAAATCAATTTCCAATGAAATACTCTGTGAAAAATCTAAAATTAATATAAATGTGAAATTAAAAGCCTCTGAAAGTACTTAATTTGCTGGCTTTGGAGCCGTATAAAAAACCAGTTTTGTAGAGATCATGGTGAATACTGCCTCAATGGAAGAAAGGATAAAGCTGCTACAACTTAATTTTGCGAAGTCGATGCTTCATCCACGAAGCAACCAGTCTCCACAAATCATAGCCAATTCATTCAACATCCTTACACACGTAGATGCATTTCTTATATCCGAACTACTGTTATCAGACCCTAAACCTCAAGGACACGACGAGGGCTTGAACCTGTATCAACCAATTGTGCAGTTGATGAAGTGCATAGGAGTAACGCCACTCTATTCTAACTCTCTACTCCTGGGTCATCCGTAACCAAGCGATAACAGTAGACACAGTAATTAAAGCTCCTGAAATATAACCACCACAGCAACAGATGCACTCCAGAAGGTAAAATAAACTTCAATCACTGGACGCTTTGCCCAGATTAAACATTTCCCTTTAAATTAGGAAATAATTTGTCCACCTCTCCCAGTTAAAAATAGGGAAAAAGTCAATAGCCCAAAGTTTTCAGAGCTTAAATTATCTTTTTTTAAAATTTTGGAATGTGCTTCAACATAAATCTCTCATCTTTTGGTTCCATTCTTTAAATTCAGCTTTTGGAAAATTTAAAGATTATCCATGAAATTATCAGTTTCCATAATTCATCTCTAATGAGGTTTAGCAAGTAGCGGATTGCTACTTTATTAAAGCCTGACCGACTCAGAAATCTCTATGGCGGATTCTCCTACATCTAACTAGACTCCCAGAACTAGCTAAGCTATAGCCCAGCTATGAAGGAAACAGACGTGTAGCAAGGAGCACATTTATTCTGGACGTATATTGCGGATCAAGTGTACACGCACGGGGCTACTCATGATCAGAATGAGGGATTAGGTTAAACAGAGGTTGATGATTGGTCACTGTTTGTACGGTCGCTACACAGAGTTGTACGGCCGCACCTCCCAATCCTGGCGAACTGCACACAAAGTTGTACGGCCGCACCTCCCAATCCTGGCATCTCCCAGTCCTGGCGTGCAGGCATGCGATGACGTGTCCCACAAGGCTTGTCCCGAGTTGTACGGCCGCACCTCCCAATCCTGTCATGCAGGCATACGATGACGCACACAGTGATAACGTGTCCCACAAGCATTCAATTGAATATTTATTTATATCAAATGGCAGGCGTCTTGGTGGTTATCATTAGCCCTTTAGCTGACTTCAGACTTCATCCGTAACTGAGCGATAACAGTAGACACAGTAATTAAAGCTCCTGAAATATAACCACCACAGCAACAGATGCACTCCAGAAAGTAAAATAAACTTCAATCACTGGACGCTTTGCCCAGATTAAACATTTCCCTTTAAATTAGGAAATAATTTGTCCACCTCTCCCAGTCCCAACCCCCCCCCCCCAACCCAAATTAGCCATTTGTTGGCTGGGGCTTTATCACGTACTTTGACATTCTAGCATTTCTTGTATTGCACAACGTTCATGAGGGCGTCCAAATGAAACAGTGCATTCAGCTTTCTGCCAACATTCCCTCACTTTTCTCAACAGGACAACGATATTACCAGAAACTCCAAACAGCAACACACTGGTCCGATGGTTTCAAATGCAGCCGTTAAGACACGTCTAATTGGTTCTATTCTCATACAGTTTCAGTGTGTATCAACTCACTTCTGTTGATAGAAGACTTGAAAGGTAGCGTGAATGAGATTCATTTTGACTTGATGTTCTTGTCAGTATTGATTGCAGTGATGTAGAACAAATGGAGTAGACTATTTGCAACTAAATTCTCGTATTTTATCAATTTCATCTCTTTCTGTACACTTGGCGGAAGATACTTCACCAAATTTCATGTTCTTCAATATCATTCAAATTTAGAAGTCAAAGGAGAATACCACATGCAAAGCCTTGTAATTTCAATGTGAATACTTCAAGTATTTGTCGGCTAAACAGTTTTCTCTGGTAACAATTCTCTCACTTAAAGTGCTGATTAGTAATAAGTTCAAAATTTCAAGCTCCGTTGGCCTCAAGATGAATCATCTTTTATATGCTGCATATATCATTTCATATGCACAAGAGAGGCTGAACACATCTGAGCCAAGAAGTGATCATTGATTACTTGAATGATGTATGAATATTTTGTATGATTGAGTTGGCTGGTTTATTAACGCCTTTCGGATTTGGATGAAGTGAATAACTATCTGAAGGGAAGATGAGCGTATTTGGAAGGAAAAGAAACATTTGCAATATCTACCAAACGATTGTCATCAATTACGCCTTCATCCGTTCGATCGCCCTCACCCCTCCCCTCCCTACCCCACCCCACCCCATCCCACCCCCCTCTGTGTTCGTGAAAGTTCACGCTTCAAGTCGAGAGTGTAATTGTGTTGGCCACTGCAATGCCTGGTCGCCAGATTGATTTCACTGAACACATCTTCTTAATGAATGACATCAATTTGCAAATGATTTCCGATTTCATTGAAGAGATACATATCAATGCCCTACTAATTCCTGACTATTTCATTACAAAATATGTCTGCATAAATAATCACTGTTATTGGGTAAAACCTTGTTGAGAAATGCTCATCGGA